CGAGTGATCTAGGAGGTGATCGCGCGCACAAATTGCAGTACTTAAGACCATTCATTCTGTTCCTTTAGCGCCATCGTGGCCATCTGTTTACGCCTAAGTATAACGTTCGTACGCCTTAGTGGCTTCGAGTAGTAGCGCCTTAGTGGCCCCATGGAGTCGTAGCCTAGTCGTTTCTTGATGGAGACCGCGATCAGAGCAGGGAAACTCGGTCTTATGGAATTTTTAGTCGATACCGTTTGATCGCCGTCGTAAACGCCTCCGTGGATCAATCGCTCGTCTCTTTAAAACGGAATGATTCTTGACTGCCTGTTTTCATGCAGTGACTCTGTTGCGTTCGTTTGTTTGTTTTGAATGAAATGTTGTTCGTATTCGTCGATTGGGTGGCAAGTAGTGCTGTCCACGAATACATCGATCGCGATTTTGCGCATCGTTACAAGATCACTTACTGGTATCACGTTTTTGTTACGTGTGTTGGTGCCCAAAAAGTCGAAAATCATATAGTTGATGTCAATGCTGATCGTGCGAGAGAATTTTATATAAACCCAGGGTCAGCAGGTTACTGTTCTTCGTTTTCGTCTTCCTCCCTGCCAACCTCCTGCTCTGCTCTTTAAGATTACATGAATTTTCTGATTAGTATTTTGTGTGCACTACCAACACTTGGCCACAAGACAGACGGCAAGAGGCTTAACAGTTTTTACATTTTTTTGAATATTGGTGCGTCTAGAGCGCTACCATATTATGTGCCAAACAATTATTGCTTCACATATGCACGCAAGAAGAATGCAAGAGATTGGGCTGAAACTCACCACTACTCACTGGCCAGCTGTCGTAATGGCAATTCAGTAACACAGCGATTCTTGGTTGATTTGTATCATTCCTCGAAAGACGAACAGCTACATTTGACACCTGAAACTCGATTACTAAAAATTACATCGTTTTCATTGATAGGTGCAATGTCACACTCAATTCGAGAGGAGATCCAGGCTTACATTTCTATAGCACACCGTGAAGCCATCTGTGTCGAAGCGGGGAATATCGAAACATCCTGTAGGATTTTGCAACGAAACTTCGATTTTGGCCGTGGCCGCAACTCTAATGGTCCTATAACGAGAACTGTTAATGCTTATGAAAAGCAATTCTAGTCGCTGGTCTACACTAAAAGAGGTAGACATTGCTGCAGTTTTCGCCCTACTTTTGCGCCTCTAAACGCGTCACTAAGACGCTGAGCGCTTGAAACATCGGTCCCCGCCAGAACGATCCCTGCCCACTCACCGTTCAATATCATATCTGCATCATAACGTTGAGCTGCTATGCTCCGTCGACTCAACTTCTTTGCCCTCTCCGCGGCCATTATCTCTTATTTCGTTGTCTGCTTCTTAGACTTCGCTGATGGGGTGGGTCTATCGAAATGTGGTTTACGATGCCTTTCCAGGATGATTTGGTATAGGGTATTTTCTCAAAATTGCTGGTGCTTGGGATGGATTACACTCCTTTTTGGTTTTTCAGGCCCTGGCAAAGGCAACGAGGCTGAAACCTTAGCCGAAAGCAAGCTACCAACGTCTGGATTCGTGCTCTACCAACCTAACTAACAGTACCTCACGTCATGTCAAGCTTTACAAATAGTCGAACGAGGACACTTCTAAACTGTCAATGGTCCTCAAGAGCATTTACATCTCAGGTACCTCTCAATATTCAGAAGCTAGAATGCCATGTGAAGCTGGAGTTTTGATGATATTAACCTAAAGTGTGTATGAGGGTAAAGTATTAGCCGCACATCAAGCGCTAAGGGTGTGTGTTGTAACAAAAGGAGAGGACTGAGAATCTCCTAACTGCTCACATTGCGGATTCCCAGCATGCAGCATGCACTTGCTTGAGCATTTGATTCTTTCCCGCTCTTGCTCGAACAGATTCTGCGATTATAGTAGCGGGCTCTTCTGATATCTGTATTCATAGCGCCAACTGTGTCGTTTCTAGTTATTCTCATTTTTCGTCTCAAGCTCTGTAATTCTCGCTAATCCCATAACTGTGTTGTGTTCGAATTTTCATTGGGGAGTGCGACATGCGACTTCCGCGTCGATCGGATCGTCCGGAGTCATCTTTCGCGAGTTTCTTTGTGGCGAGGAGCATTCATTTTTTTCTGGTCAGCCGGCTCATCAGGTGTATTTGAATCCAGTTTCGTGCACATTATGGATACTCTTTTGACATCAAAAGGTTGTGTGCTTAGCAAGGGGATCACCACTGTATCGATCTCAGCCGTCCGCAATTTGAAAATCAC